AGTGTGCTTGTTTAGTGTAGAACGCCTGTCCGTTCACAGTATTGCGGCCTGGCTGCCTGCATTTTCAAGGCTTTCTACGAAACACGAGAAGCAACAAAAAAGATGCGTACATCTACCCACACGACGAGCTGGAGTAAACGTGTCGCAGGGAGGTGAGGGTATCGGTTGAATGTTGCGTAATTGAGTATGGTTTGTAAAATGCTTAATTGTCATTTCGACTTCATTATTTCTATTTATTGAATGAAGGAGAAGCGCTGCCCTCAACGAGCGATGTGACACTGTTGTTGGGTTGTACCACACTGCTGCTTGAAGGTACTGTTGCTTCCATCGCATCTACACGAGTCAAAAAAAGCGTCACGTCAAACAAAAGCCATGTAAAGACGCCTTTGACTGAATTCGAAACGCGCGATCTGGTACCTACGTATACCGGTTAGCTGGTGAACGGCTGTGTAGTGCGAGAAGTTAGTTTTTTACTATCAGACGCTGCCTGCAACGGCCTTCAAGTTATTGTTCTCTCAATGACGTTTCGTTTGATATTCATGAAAGCACGTTAGAGAGTGCTTGCATGACTGTTAGTCGGGATGACGTCACGTGAGTCAATAGTGATCAAGTCGGTTGGCCGAGTCATAAGTATACTATTATTGCTTTCTCACAGACGTTTCGTTCGATATGCATGAAAACAGGTTAAGACAGCGCGTGCGTGTGTGATAGACGTGATGACGTCACGTGAGTCACTAGTATTCACGTCGCTAGGCCTAGTGAGAGCATTCAAGTTATTACTCTCTCACAGACGTTTCGTTTGATATGCATGAAGACAGGTTAGGACACCGCGTGCGTGGGTGTCAGGCATGATGACGTCACGCCAGTCACTAGTGATGACGTCACTGGGCCTTGTGACAGCATTCAAGTTATTACTCTCTCAAAGACATTTATACAAGATTGAGTATGCATGAAGACAGGTTAGGACACCGCGTGCGTGGTGTCAGGCGTGATGACGTCACGCCAGTCACTAGTGAAGACGTCACTGGCCTTGTGACAGCGTTCAAGTTATTACTCTCTCAAAGACATTTCGTTTGATATGCATGAAGACAGGTTAGGACACCGCGTGCGTGGGTGTCAGGCGTGATGACGTCACGCCAGTCACTAGTGATGACGTCACTGGGCCTTGTGACAGCGTTCAAGTTATTACCCTCTCAAAGACATTTCGTTTGATATGCATGAAAAAATGTTTGGACACTGCGTGCGTGTGGGATAGGCGTGATGACGTCACGCCAGTCACTAGTGATGACGTCACTGGGCCTTGTGTCAGCGTTCAAGTAATTACTCTCTCAAAGACATTTCGTTTGATATGCATGAAGACATGTTTGGACACTGCGTGCGTGGATGTCAGGCATGATGACGTCACGCCAGTCACTAGTGATGACGTCACTGGGCCTTGTGACAGCGTTCAAGTTAATACTCTCTCAAAGACATTTCGTTTGATATGCATGAAGACAGGTTAGGACACCGCGTGCGTGGGTGTCAGGCGTGATGACGTCACGCCAGTCACTAGTGATGACGTCACTGGGCCTTGTGACAGCGTTCAAGTTATTACTCTCTCAAAGACATTTCGTTTGATATGCATGAAGACATGTTTGGACACTGCGTGCGTGGGTGTCAGGCATGATGACGTCACGCCAGTCACTAGTGATGACGTCACTGGGCCTTGTGACAGCGTTCAAGTAATTACTCTCTCAAAGACATTTCGTTTGATATGCATGAAGACATGTTTGGACACTGCGTGCGTGGGTGTCAGGCATGATGACGTCACGCCAGTCACTAGTGATGACGTCACTGGGCCTTGTGACAGCGTTCAAGTAATTACTCTCTCAAAGACATTTCGTTTGATATGCATGAAGACAGGTTTGGACACTGCGTGCGTGGGTGTCAGGCATGATGACGTCACGCCAGTCACTAGTGATGACGTCACTGGGCCTTGTGACAGCGTTCAAGTTATTACTCTCTCAAAGACATTTCGTTTGATATGCATGAAGACAGGTTTGGACACCGCGTGCGTGGGTGTCAGGCGTGATGACGTCACGCCAGTCACTAGTGATGTCACTGGGCCTTGTGACAGCGTTCAAGTTAATACTCTCTCAAAGACATTTCGTTTGATTTGCATGAAGACAGGTTTGGACACCGCGTGCGTGGGTGATAGGCGTGATGACGTCATGCCAGTCACTAGTGATGACGTCACTGGGCCTTGTGACAGCGTTCAAGTTATTACTCTCTCAAAGACATTTCGTTTGATATGCATGAAGACAGGTTTGGACACTGTGTGTGCGTGTGATAGGCGTAATGACGTCACGTGAGTCACTAGTGATGACGTCACGCGGCCTAGTGCCAGCTTTCAAGTTATTACCCTTTCAAAGACGTTTTGTTTGATATGCATGAAGGCACATTATAGAGTGCTTGCGTGAGTCTTAGGCGTGATGACGTCACGCCAGTCACTAGTGATGATGTCACTGGGCCCTGTGACAGCGTTCAAGTTATTATTCTCTCAAACACGTTTTGTTTGATATGTATGAACTCAGGTTAGACGCTGCGTGCGTGGGTGTCAAACGCGATGACGTCACACGAGTCACTAGTGATCACGTCACTCTGCCGATTGACAGCGTTCAATTTATTAGCCTCTCGAAGACGTTTCGTTTGGTATACATGATGGCAGGTTAGACATTGCGTGCGTGGGTGATAGGCGTGATGACGTCACCTAAATCACAAGTGATCAAGTGAGTTGGCTGAGTCATAGGTAACACGTTATCGCTCTCTCAAAGACGTTTCGTTCGGTATGCATGTCGGTAGGCGAGTAAGTTACGTGCGTGGGTGATATGGGTGATGACGTCCCCTGAGTCACTGGTGATCCGGTGGCTTGGCCGAGTTTTAGGTATCAAGCTCTTGCCCTTTCAAGGACGTTTCATTTGATAAGCATGACGGAGGGTTAAGACAGTGCGTGCGTGGGTAGTATGCGTGAGGACGTCACCTGAGTCACTCGTGATGAGATCATTGGCCTGGTTAATAGGTATCAAGTTATTACTGTGTGGACGGCGTTTCCTTTGATATGCATGTTGAAGGTGTGAATAGTGCTTACGCGGGTGATAGGCGTGATGAAGTCGCGCGAGTCACATTGTGTCACTCATTCGTGGTTTTTTCTCTTAAATTCACTTTAAAGCTATTCACTCCACGCATTCCCGAAAATTCTGGGTCGTTTTGAAGTCACAATGTCATCAGGATTAAATTCGCTGGCGTCTGGATTAAATCGGCTGGCAGTTGGATTAATTTCAGTGGCACTTGGATTAAAATGAATGGCACCTGGATTAATTCGAGTGGCGGCTGGATTAAATTGACTGGCGCCTAGATTAATTTGGCTGGCGCTTGGATTAAATTGAGCGGGAAAACCTGTAGAACTGCCCGAAAAAGGAGGGGCACATTGCAAAAAATGCCAAAATTTGTGTTTTGAGAAAAATGAGTTTTTAAGTTAAAATTGAGTTTTTATTTATGAAAGATATAATTAAATCTGATGATATTTGCACACCAAAAAGAACAATCTTTCTTGTAGTGGCCACTGTGACTAAAATACGCCAGCCCCATGAGTTTGTCCCTTTCGGCTTTTTCGATCCGACTCCTCACAGACATTTCGCTCACAGACAGGGCCATGAAGCGCTTTCTAAACTTCCGCTCCATCTGGCAGGGCCATGTGCCAACTGCTAGCTAGGGAGAAGCTCGACAGGATTGCGAAATCCAAACTAAGTCCAGTGTCATGCCATTTTGCAGCCATGTTTGTGCCACATACCTTCATACATAATGGCAATGTAGCTCTCTCACTGCGAGCTCTTTCGACCTCCCAAGATTGGCGCTGACATCATCCATTGCCCCATCACGAACTTTCCGGCTGACTGGTGTGAATGATCCGATGGAGGCGGAAATGTTGTAGGCCCGTGTGCTCAGATTTGGGTGCACGTTAAAGAACCCCAGGTGGTCGAAATTTCCGGAGCCCTCCACTACGGCGTCTCTCATAATCATATGGTGGTTTTGGGACGATAAACCCCACATATCAATCAACTGGTGTGAATGACCTTTAAGGCATTGGCTTTTGCAAGCCAACAACTGCTGCAAATCGGACCAGCTGCTCATAGCCTATTCCTACAGAGCACGCCGCACAACGGCTTTCACCTGCGAGCAATGCTTTTTTCATTCATAACGGAGATAATTACACGAGAAAAGCATTGTTCAGCTGCACTGCTCGACAAGACATGGACCCGCAAATAAGTTTCACAGCACATACAGGCGCGCAGCGGCCAATGGCGGTCCCCGATTCGTACCATGTCATAAGCCAGTCGCGACGCTCGAAAAATGCGCAGAAGAGTGCTTCTTTTTATTATTTCTTGCGCTGCATCAGCGAGAGTAACTGTTGTTATTTGAAGACTCAGGCTCGACTCTTCGACTCATGTGATCAACAATGGCGAGCGGCGGCGCATTATTGGCGACAAGGTGCTCGAAGACTGCACGCTTTGAACTTTTTAACAGGCACCTTGTGCTCTTTAAATGCAATTTTAAAGCATTTCCAGTCAAGTCTCAACCTTCATAATTTTTTCATAACAGTAGAGGTTATCAAAATCTTATCAAAACAGGCGAAAATAAAAAATCGGTAATGTTGAAAAAAAATCGCGTTTTTCGACCCGTATCTCCCCTTAAGCAGGTGCTGTTTAATTAGATTTTACTTTAATACAGCTGTGTTTTGTTGAACTTTCATAATTTCAGATTTGAGTGATTTGCTGTAAGACTATAATTTCTAAACAATAAGATCACAAATAATTAATGTAATGCCGATTATAGTCATATAAATAATCTGTCATAACAGCTTTGGGCCTTCCCCAACGTCAATTCTAGTTCTCTCATTTATTTATCAAGGCAGTGTTATAGTTGCTGAATCTATGTATATGTGACCCAGCATTTTCCCGCAGGGCATGAAGATCAACTTTGGCACCTGGCAGAGTGCCATGTACGGGCTGGCGCATGCATCAGAGCTTGTAGATCTGAGACGGGAAGCTCGTGAAAAGCTCTTCACAAAGCCACTTCCTCCACGTCACACACGGTTGGATCGCAGGTATGCAGGCAGCAGCCTTCCCATCATTATGAAGTACGAAGTGGGTTAGTTTTGTTCAGTTTGGTTGAAGCTTATTTGTAAATTTCGGAAAAAAAGAAACTAATATACTGTGTCTACGGATGAAAACCACCACGGAATCGTGGTCACCAATCTTGATTTATATGCAATTAACTAAAGGTAGAAGTTTTAAGCACAAGCCTTGTTTTAAAAATTAGTTTGATTGTGTCAACGTCGGATGAGCATTCACATCCACATATACTTCTTAGTTTGAAATTCTATATTGTCACGGGCTCGAGGCGTGAATGAAGGGAGCAGGCTGTATGTCTAAGATGAAACTGTTTAAACATAAAGGTCGAGCACAGAGAAACGACGACGCACAGGAAAGGAGTAGACAGGCGCTCGGCCTTTATGTTTAGACATGCACCGATTCGCCCAGCAACGCATTTTATTATGAAGCAGTCTATTTGGCTCAACTTGTGGCCAGTAAATGGAAACTCAGATTACAGAGATACACACTGGCACTGATAGCAGCAAACAGAGTATCAGGTGTTGATCAACTAATCATCATTGGGATGCACCGTCTTTTATACATCACGTGTCAAACTTTCCAGGCTTATCACTGGTAGTCGTGGAAGCTCTGGAATAATTTTGAGTGTTCGCGTCTCTCTAATGCGCAATCTTAACAGAGTGATCTACAAACAGAAAGGTTCTCAGACACTGATACATGATATGCGCAAAGTATTATTCGAAATCTTTGTAGGTTTACACCAAGCACATCAAAATGACACTCGTGCCAATGTGACTTTGTTGAAGGTTGTAGTGACGACTATTAGATCTGTGCATGGGCCACAATTCTAAGCCTCGGCCTGGCTTGTGCACTCCGACTGCATCAAAGGCCCGCCTGAGGCCATAGGTGACGAGCTCGCCCGGCCCGGCTTAACATACAGTAACAAATTCTGGGCCCGAACCAGTGCCGCCCAATATTATGATGATCTGCTGCAGAAGAAAGGTATCGCTTTCAATAATGTGGCATATTATTCAACATATCGAAGTGACACATAAGGAAGTGGCATGTGACAGTATTATATGCAAGACGCTTTGTCATAATAACAAGCTGTCCAATGATTCGGGCTTGAGTGAAGTGTGGCGTTCCTGCATCACATATTCCGCCACTATGAAGTTTCGTTCGCTTCTCGCACTGGTAGCTGAAGTTGTCGATTTCTTTTTGCACGCTGTAGCAAACATTTATTGACTGTTTAAAACCGCACGCATAGCGGATACGTGGGTAGACAAAAACTACACCATCTTACGAAGGGGCGCGTCCCCCCCACGCTCAGGGCTGCCAGGGCATTATGTCCATTCATGTCAACACTAGCGCCAGTTGTAACCCCCCCCCCCCACGCACCCACACCAGAACTTCCCCTTGTTATCTAATCGATTTGGAGGTCGGCGAGAGCGCCGTGGTCGGTCTTTCTCAACTGGTGGGTGCTGCTGTGGTAGCCCTTTGGCTGGAGCTGAGGCATTTGGCACCAGTTCTTCTCACTGCCATTCGGGGAAGAATTCCTCTGGTGGGTCTTCATTTGATTCTGCCTTGCAACTTGTTGGGTCTGCTGTGTGCCTCCGGCGTATCTGATCCAGTTGTCTTCAAGTTTTCACTACCAGGAGCCGATTTCCTTACACTTCAACCACCTTTCCCGGTAGCTACGGTTCACCAGTACTTAAGTTTTTACAGAAGACTAGGTCACCATTCAGGTAGCCACTTTCCTTTCCTGGCAATGGCACTTCCGTGACCCTTATGGTCATATCTAGCTTGGTTCCTGGTGTGAACTAAAGCATTAGTTCTGCTGGTGAACGTCTCCTTTGCCCCGTTCGTGTTCTGCGGTGAATGTGCAACCACCTGGCCAATCTTATGGTAAAGCTTCCCCTAGTCATACGTTTCAGACCTTTTTTTCACGGAGTGTACAGCTCTTTCGGCCAAACTATTTGATTGTGGTTTGTAAGGTGCCGTACGAATGTGCCGTATGCCATTTTGTCATCCAAAGTCTTGAAATTCAACTGCGGTGAATGACGTTCTATTGTCCGTCACCAGGCGTACAGGCAGGACAAAACGCCCGAACACAGTTCGTAAGTGTCCTACGGTCGCGGCTGCTGTAGCTGATGAAGTTAGAATGGCTTCCACCCACCCGGAATGGCTGTCCACAATCACCAGGATCATTTTGCCTTCCACAGGGCCTGCATAGTCAACATGGATGCAAGTCATGGCTGCATTGTGGCTGGCCAGCTCAAAGGTTCCTTAGATACAAGCATTAGATACAAGCATTGCTGCTGGTTGTTGATAAAGACTACATTTATGCAAGAATTGTTCCACTTTTGACTCTATGCCAGGCCACCGCACGAGTGTCCTTGCCAGAGCTTTTGTAGAGTTGATTCCGAAATGTGTGCCATGATCTAGCAGAAACGCCCGCCTTGCTTGCTGAGGAATCGTCACTCGATCGCCGCAGCAGATCAGTCAATTGTCTGTTGTGAGTTCCTCTCATGGCCACCAGAAAGGTTGCAACTTGCTATCTTTAACCTTCCTTGGCCATCCTTGTTCAATTTGGTGGTGAACTTTCATCAACAAAGGGTCTTTTTTGGTCAGCCCCTCAAGTTGCTGACGTGACAGTGGGCTGTTGTCCAGAAGACTTGTTGACAGTACTTGCTCACTCTGACAATTTGTGTCTTCAGCTTCTTCTGCAGGAAGCCTACTGAGGGAATCGACATTTCCATTCTGCTGTCCCAGTTTATATTTAATGGGGTACCGATGCGCTCCCAAGATAAGATGCCATCTCTGGATTCAGGCTGCTGCCGTTGCAGGTACTGCCTTGGTTTCTTTAAGTAACCCAATCAATGGCTCATGATCTGTTTTCAGAACAAACGAGCAACCTCGCAGCTAGTCCCTGAACTTCGTGACTGCAAGAACAAATGCCAAGGCTTGCCGTTCAAGTTGAGAGTAGTTTCTTACTGCGTTCGTGAGTGTTCTTGAGCGAAACGCAATGGGCTGTTCCACCCCATCAATGACGTGTGAAAGTACTGCTCCCACTCCTTCGGGTGATGCGTCACATTCCATGATGACTTGCTTGTTTGAGTCAAAGTGGACCAGTAGGTTTGAACTTTGCCATGCTTGCTTGATCGCCCTGAAATGCAGTCATTTCTTTTTGGCCCTATTTCCATTTTGAGTCTTTCTTCAAAAGCTTATGGAGTGGAGAATGCATGGTGGACATATTTAGTAAGACACTCCGATAGTAAGATATGAATCCCAAAAATGAAGTTCCTGGACCCTACGTGACTCAGGTGCCTTCATGATGGCCTCCATTTTCTTTTCACAAGGATGCAGACCTTCTCTGTCTATTCGGTGCCCCAGGTAGTTCACTCCTTCACCGAAAAATGCTTTTCTCTTCCCTGAACTTAATACCAATGTCACGGAGGGCTGACAACACCTTCCGTAGGTGGTGCCAAACCTATGCTGGCGCTCAGCCACTAAACTGTCATCGAGGAACACCTGAGAGCCTGGATTGTTCCTGAGCACTGTCTCCATTTTCCTCTGAAAATTTGCAGGCGCTGATGCTATTCCATAAGGCAAACAGCTGTGCGAAAACAGTCCCTTGTGAGTATTTAGCACTGCTGTCTTCTTCAACACATCTAACGGCACATGGCAGTGTGCTTCCCGTAAGTCCAGTTTCGTAAACCAATAACCATTTTTCGAATTGGCGAACATGTCCTCCACCTTAGGCAGCGGTTACTGGTCTACTTCACAATGTGTTCAAAGTGACCTTGAAGTCACCACAGAACCTCAAACTCCCATCCCCTATGAGCACTGGTACCACTGGGGTGGCCCATTCACTGTGGGTGACCGGTGATAGGATACCTTCTTCGCACAGCTGGTTCAACTACTTAGCCACTTTGTCACGTATGGCATAAGGTAGAGAGCGTACTATGAAGAATTTTAGGTTTTCCTCTTTCTTCAGGTTGATGTGCGCTGGTGGCCCCTTCATCAACCCCGTACCATGTTGGAACAAGTCGCTGAATTCCCTCTTCAGCTTTGTCACTGTTTTTTGAGCGGAACTGTTCACCTGCACAAAGGTGAAGCTGTTTAGTCCAAGATTGTTCAGTTTCTGGATGATGTCACGACCACAGAGGGATGAGCTGGAACACTTTGTCTTATACAGCTCCTCTTCCGTTTCACCAGTTGGGTTGTTCACCAACAGCTTCAGAACTTCCAGTAGAGGCAATTTCCCAGTGTAACATTATAGAGCTTCGTCTGTTGGCTCCAACTTCGGCCAAAAATGTGCCTTATATCTATAGGCCTCTTCTGTTATCACGCACACAGAGGATTTGGTGTCCACTTGCATTTGGAGCTTTACTCCACCCCAATTGAGAGTGGTAGTGTACGCAGTGCTACGCACGTTCTTCGGACCTTGAACGGTGGACAGATAGAAGCTTTCGGGTTCTTCAACCACCATGTTCGGCTGAAACTTGCCTTTATGGCCGGGAGTCTTGTTCCCGAAGCACTGACTTGCTAAATGTCCACCTTTGTTGCACTTAAAACATGTTGTGTTCTTGTGCGGACATTCTGGCGGTGAATGACTTTTCTCGCCACAATGAATGCGCAAGAGCCTCTTGCCCGGTGGCCGCTGGCTTTCTGGTTACCTTGAGGCTTCTTCTGCTCCAAAACGTTCACACCGGCTACCACTGTAGCGGCTGGTGTGTCGCTTGATCCCGGCAGGTGACTTGAAATCGAGATGGCCAACTTTGCGACCAGGGGGGTGTCCAGGGCATCTTTCAACGTCAAACTAAGAAGTTTAGCAAGCAGTAGCCGCTGTACCCCCTTTTCAGGCAGTCCGATGATGAAACGGTCTCGAAGATTCCTTTCCAGGGCCTCTCCAAACCCACAGTAGTCGGTAATCATTTGCAGTTCCGCTAGGTAGTCGGCCAAACTTTCTCTGCTGTTTTGCACCCGGGTCTGGAATCTGAAAGTTTAATTAATCTCCGATGGCTCAGGACTGAGGTGTTGCGTCATGACTCGAACAATGGCATTGTACGTTTCATCCTTCGTCTTGCTCGGTGCCAACAAGCTCCGCAGACGAGCGTAGGTCTCGGTGTTCTGGATGTAGATTAGGATCGACTTTTTTTTTTCTAATCCGGAGTCGCGTCGTTGGCTTCGAAAAATGCCTCTAGCCTTTCGACATAGTTGATCCAAGATTCCGAAGTTACCTCGAATGACAATGGCGCCGCAGTCAATGGTTGTGCATTGAGCAGCCTAAGCCATTGTCCGCAATCACCCTCTCTGTGCTCAGTCCTCCCCTTGTTTCGAACTGCAGGTTGCTCCTGGTAGTGCTTGTTGCGTTGGCAAAATGCTTGCAGTCTATTCCATCTTCGTCGCCAGTTTTGTTACGTTATAACAAACATTTATTTACTGTTTAAAACTGCACGCATGACGGATACGCGGGTAGACAAAAACCACAACATTTTACCAAGGCACGCGCGTCCCCTCCACGCTCAGAGTTGCCAGGGCATTATTTCCATTCACGTCAACATTGACTCCAGTCGCCACACTTTTTGTCAGATATAGCAAGCTTGGAATATTTAGACTGCTTCATCTTGACGAAGTTTGGTACATCCGATGCAACACAAGGTTATGATTCCATACATAGGTAATCGCGAAGTTTCATCTTTCATGCTCCTTGTTACAAGCTAGAAAAATATTCCAGCCCAGCCTCTATATTTTGGGCTTCATAAGGGCTTTGCACATGGCCCGGCCCGCCCAATAACCAAACTGTGTAGCTTGAGACGAGAAGACGTTGGCCTACCTGGAGCCTGTGCACACCTCTAATGGCTGTTTGTCCTCTGCTGGATCTTCGATTTGCCAGTAGGCAAGCTGCCTGGCTTCATCAATGTCCTGAAGCGATGTGCAGACGTCGAGGTTCTTTTTTTTGGTCAGTGACGGTTGTCATTGTGGCACCAGGCTCCAAAGCTCTTACAAAGGGCTTACAAAGTTCATCATTGCTGTGGCACAAGATAACCTCAAACACAGTGCACAGGTACTTTGCCGGCATCATTTGAAAGGGGGTTGTCACCTGTGACGGTGGTCTAGCGGTTGAGGCACTCGATTGCTGACCCACAGGCCGCAGGATCAAATTCTGGCCGTGGCGGCTGCGTTTTCGATGGAGGCAAAAATGCTAGATGCCTGTGTGCTTAGATGTCGGTGCACAATAAAGAACCTCAGGTTGTTGAAATTTCCGGAGTCCTCCACTGGTGGCGTCTCTCATAATCATATCGTGATTTTGGTGCGCTTAACATAAAAAATTATTGTTATTGAAATGAATCTTCAAGGCCTTTCAAGGTATACGTGATCTTCTCTTGTTTGCTTATCATATGTTTTAGGCATTTGCATCGTCAATGAGATTTTCGATATGCCTTGCCGAGTTTTCTCCCTTTTTTTACGCACGTCTGCCTAGGCTCTGTTCAGTGAAGAAAATTGCACTTTGTGGGGCTACGGAAAACTTTCATGAATACATTTTTACAAGCACTCTTAGGGGAAAGTTCTACTCGGCACTATGCAGGCAAAGGCTGGTGACATCCTGTAGACAAAATGGGACCTACTCTGATTTCGAGAGGCTGTCTTACTTTGTGGGGTCTCGAATTGGCGAGCAAGCACCACGCCACGCTCTTGGAGTGAAAGGACACCGTTCACAGGGTCGGTACAGCAAAACACATACATACATTTTTAACTAATTTACAACAACAATATTGTCCGCCGAATGATACATAAATCGTAATAAATCCACTAAGACATCCTTAAACACATTTCCATGCACTGCAAATTCATGACAAACACACTATAACACACCCAAGGCGGTGTCGCCAGCGCTTGACTTACCACGTCGGCCACCGGCGCGCAGGCCCGCGGTGCCACGCGCAGAGGACCCACGCTAGAGACAATTGTTCGGGGCAGCCGCCATGCGCAGAAGAGACTCGCTCAACTCTCGCCCGCCACCAAGGCCTGCCTTCCGCAAGGGGTCACGGCCGGCGCTACCACTCTACCAACAGTGGTACTCAACGCGAACACAACGCCATCTATCGTCCGGCGGTTGTCACCCCCGAAATACGGCTTTTGTGCGAGACACATGCACCACGCGGTGCAAACAACTTAACAGGGGGTGTCAGCACCCTCACAACTTGTTGGCAACACTCACGCTTTCAAACAACTGGCCATCTTTTACATCTTGGTGATCAGTGCCTGTACAGAAGGGATTAGACTGACGGAGATTTGATCATGCTTTCCTGGATGGTGCCTCGCTTGTGGTCTACCCAGCACCTCCACCACTTTGCAAGGAGGGCTATTGTTCATTTTGGGTGGCAGGCAGAAAGTTGGCACAGCGATATCAGCCTGGCACCAACAGCTCATAATCAGTGCTCGTGCTTTGCAATGAGCGAGCATTCCACTGTTGAAATGCCTTGTTATTTCACTACAGTTTTATTAAAGGGTGCCTATATAAAGCAACCACCACTTGCATGTCATAAACATTTCTTTTGAAGAAATTATCTTTGTGTTCCAGGAATTCCCTGTTCTGGAGTGATGTGGCTCGGGGTTGGTGCCTGCCATTTTTGGGAAGTGACCGGTCCGTGATGATCCACAGCGAAATGTTTCGGCACCAGCTTAGTGGCACAAAGCCAGTGAGTAACTATTTTGGGAAGTGCTTTAACCAGCAGTGATCATGCTGGAACTTATTTCAGCTGTTATGAGATCACAACAGCTAATTTTTGTAGCATCCGCTGTTCTGGTGTTTGTTACTTCTTTCATGTGCAGTAAGAAAAAAAAAATTGGGCTGGGAGAAATTTGAAATCGGGCCCTTTGCGTGGCAGTTGTGTATTGTACCACAGAGCTAAACCAGTGTCTGAAACTCGTTTGCAAAACTGGCTAAAAATCACATTAACCTATGTAGTATAGCATGGTAGATGAGTAAAATAACGCCAAGCATCAAGGGTGATTTAAAGTTACCCACCCAATATGATTGGTGTGGTGTCGAGGTTTCGTTTCCGATTTTGGAAGTTGGCTGGCCCCTAGGTGGCGTTGTACATATGTGTATATAGTGATGCTTGTGTATATAAAAAGAAAGTTTCTGCTTGGCTATCGGCTGCTGCGTATTTCTTGATAACCGGCGCTTGAGCGCCGTGTCCTGTGTTCTCCGTGCGGTGTGTCCGCCGCACGATAGATTTGGGCGACGAGGATTTTCAATCCACGGGCATCAGGCGTCACGGTGGGCATCCAGTCTTCTTCCGCGTGCTGTCCACTCAGTGCCCGTGCAAGCTGTCCCACCGGTATTGTATTTTCTGCATCTATTTACACTTTTGTCACGAGGCTTACCGACGTGCGTGTCTCCCTGAACTGCCTTCTCGACGCCCTCTTCGGCTAGCAGGAATGCGGCTATTCCTCCGCCTCCGTTTCTTCAGTGCCCCGATGTACCACCTACTTCATGGAGGCAGCGCCGTCCTGTGTTATAGGTTTACATCGATGCCGCTGCCAGGAACGCCACACCAGTGCACAAGAAGGTGCTGCTCTTGAAAGTCTTGAGCGTCGAATGACTTAACATCTACCTGCGTGCCGCCGAAGATGAGCAGCAGCTGGGAGCCGACCGGCCAACTAAGGAGACGACGCTGAATGTGTATGACCCAGCTCTTGCGCTGCTTAATGAACTGTTTGACCCTCAACGGCTCGCGGTGTGTCTGCGCCCCCACTTCAAAGCCCTGTGTTAGGGTCCAGAGCAGTTGGCGGTGGAATTCATTCAGGAAGTATGCTGAGTAGCCAAGCTTTGTGCATTCGCCATGGCGGGCCATATCCTCGCTTTCGACCAGATCGTCAATGGCATTGCGACACCATACCTCCAAATCATTTTTTCCAAATGGGCAGATGGGCTCTTACAGAAGGCGCTCGACATAACGAGAGAGGAGGAGCGTGCGACACGAGGAGCGTGCGACCACTGCGGCTTGATGCGGCATTGGGCCAACTCTGCCGCTTGCCTTGCCAGGAGCCAAACGTGTTCGTGGTGGGGACGTCTTAGACACTTCGCACGGGTCTGTCGCACTACTACAGAGTTGTTCAACCTCATGTGCAGAGATGATTCCATCCCAGACTGAAAGCATGCTCGCTTGTGCGGCAACTGTTAGCGACCCAGCTGGCCGTGCTCCTGAGGCACCTGCTCCTGCTGTGTGTCCTGTATTTGAGCATACCCTGACTAGACACGCTTCGACTGGGAGAACTGCTGTGAGGATGGCAGTTGCAGTCAGGTGTGCTGATGCTGACCGTACTTTACCTGCATCAGCTGCCCATCCTTCGGTTGTGCCTGCTGCTCCCATCTTGCCTGCTGCTGCTTTCGCCCCGGCTGTGCGTCGTTCGGCTTGTGGTGGCCTACGGGCCCCTGTTCTCTATGCTGCGGAGTTGCTACCACCAGTCGCATCTGCGTCGGTTATGCCCGTTCCTATTCTGTGCACGGCACCTGCATCGGTGCCGCCGAGCCATGCCCCATCGGAGCTTCATCGCAAGCTTGTTCCGGCCCCTACTGTGCTGGAAGTGCACTGGAAGGAGAGCTCATGGGCTGATTCTTTCACACCACTGGACTGCTGTGGATGGCGACAGTGCCTGTCATGAAAATGGCATCACTACAGGCGTCAGTGCCTTAGAATTAAGCGGGACAGTGACTATGCAGGCATCCTCTTTCGGGGGAGGGGATGATAGGTTGGTGTGCGGCGTGTGCCTTGCCTTTGTGTTTGCTTGCAATTCGTAATGCTCGTATGCTGTGCAATTTATTTTTCTGTGTATACGGTACATTTTCATTCTTACTTTACCTCCGTTACGTGTTAGGACCCCGCATGTTTTTCATTTCGGGGGGGGATGATGTGGTGTCAGGGTTTCGGTTCCGGTTTTGGAACCAGCTGGCTAGCCCTTGGAGGCGTTGGGCATATGTGTATATAGTAATGCTTGTGTATATAAAAAGAGAGTTCCTGCCTGGCTATCGGCTGCTGCGTACTTCTTGTCGGCTGGCGCTGTGTTCTCCGTGCGGCGCGTCCGACGCAGGATACTACAATTGGCTCAGCCATAATTCATCATCAGCCCCAGCATTATCGAAATGCACAATGTCTTGGAGACGCATAGGGGGTACGTCACGTCTCTGCAGAGTGATGAATAATGGCATAGTGGGCACTTGCCTCCTATGCAAAATTAGTGATTTATGGTCTACCGTATTCACTGGCGTAATCAACGCACTTTTTTTTTCTAAAAAAAAAAACGGAGCAAAGTTGGGGGTGCATTTATTATGCAGAGAAAATATCGTGAAAACTTTTTCAGGATGAGCAAAAATGTGTTAATGCAAAAAAAAAAATGTAAGGTCGCTTAGCCTTTCTGGATTGACATACGCGTACTGTTTGGAAACAGCTTCTTTGTTGCATTTCACTTAGCTTCGTTGGTTGATGGTGCTATCTTCTGCAAGGCTGTTCCTGCCCCGCCGCGGTAGTCTAGTGGCTAAGGTAGTCGACTGCTGACCCGCAGGTCGCGGGACCGAATCACGGTGCGGCGGCTGCATTTCCGATGGAGGCGGAAATGTTGTAGGCCCATGTGCTCAGATTTGGGTGCACGTCAAAGAACACCAGGTGGTCGAAATTTCTGGAACCCTCCACTACGGCGTCTCTCATGGTGGTTTTGGGACGTTAAACCCCACAAATCAATCAATCAATCAATGCAAGGCTGTTCCTGCGCCGCCCGCGCAATCCATAAAATCATTTTGTGGCTATCTTTTTTCGCAATCATTTAACCACAACAGTGGTATCTGCTGTAGCCTCGAGAGGCACTTAGAAGTGCACTCTATGACGCTACAATGCACTTTGCTGACTTCGTGGCAACTTCGCACGACGACTGCGACGATGCCATTGATATTGCACCAAGCTACCGCCGAAGCATCCAAAACAAACAGTCTATAACAAGATTAACAACAAAATACGGCTGCCGTCTTGCTGAAAGGTTCTTGACGTATGCGTGGATAACAAGCATGAAGAGCGAATTGCAACCAAATGAAGAATCAGGGGTGCTACCATGTTGCAGAAACCGTCACGATTTTTTCTGGGCGACAAGCAATTCTTTCTGGCTTTCCACAAACCTGCAATGTGATAGCGACGAATGGATCTTCGCGACAGCCATGGTGACAGCAAAAGCTGTCGTCATTGCTCAAAAAATCATGGGCATGTGGGCGGGCCTTAATTAACATTTCGTATTTGCAGGAAGCAGCCATCGGTCGGCGTGGGCAGTTTCGTGGCCTTCGCTCGCTGTGTTCTTATCATCTGCGATGTCTCTACACTCACACCGTTCATGAACCCTGTAGTAGCGAACAGATAGCAAAAAAAGAGAGAGGATGTGCCGTGCGCAAATAGAAGGAAGAACAACGCGGCGGGCGGCAGCGGGCGAAGGGGCCAGCCGAGATGACCAAAGGGGGTCAGCATAACAGTAAAAAAAAAAAAAATACGATAGAGATCCAACGGGTAAGTAGGCGCCTTGTGTTGGTTAGCGGGACTGCAGTAGACAAATGCAGGGGGTGTGCTTATTACGGAAGAGAAAAAAAAAAAGATTTTATAGACTGAAGTTGGGGGTGCATTCATTACCCTAGTTAATACGGTAAAAGGGTACCTTGCAACTGTACTTGCTTTAGGAACCCTAGTGTGGGGGACCACGAGGTTCGCCGGCTAGCAGGCTGTCGATTAGAAACGAGAGATGGCACGTTCTTTTAATGGAACAATGAAAAGAAAAAAAAGAAACAGATGGCTGTGTGTCCTCGAGTGAGGAGCACTGACGGTGATGATGAATGTCGTCTTCTAGGCTGATGAAGACAAAGTTTCAACACCTAGAGAACATATAATTTGGTATAACAAAGCTACTTTGCCATCTTGCCAGATACTTTGCCAGATATCGATGCAAAGTCGCATGAAGTTCTGCTGATTGCAAGGCGTGGTGTAACAAAGATACCTTGCAGCAAGCATAGCAAAGCGACGCGAGGATTCCTCCCCCCACCTTTTTTTTAAAGTGGGGAGCACCCTCAACAAGTGAGTTCTTTCGGGACTACAGGAAGGAGAAGAATTTATGCACTGTTTTGACCATGTTCCCTGATGCGGGGATGCAGCAGGGGGCAATTTAGGATAGGTAAACGTATGTTGTAGTAGAGAAGAAATGAACACAAACATAAGCAATAATTTCATCTGGAAGTGCCAAGTCAAGGCAACCTCAATCATGAAGCCTGTTCATGTTTTTTATGCAGTTAACATCCATGGATCACTACGCCAGATAGGCAACATTTTGTTGTTGTTTTTTTTCTGAGAATGTGGAACACCATGCAACAAGAGGCTTCCGTGGTTACCCTGCATCATCGTTTGTCATGGAGAGTAGCTGGCAGCATATGTGAGCTTTTTGCACCGAAAAGTAGCGCGCTGCAGGGGACAAGTGAGCGAGGGTTTTAGAGATGGAGAGAGAGAAATGGGGAGGGGGTTGCTGAAAGGGAGAAAAAGAAAGCTCCTGCTCAATGCCTCGTTTCGTCAAATCGTGAAAACTGATCTCGTGTCCGCTCCTCAACTAGTATGGTGCGTCTGCACGCATTGGGGTGGCACAAAGGGAGGGGGGCATTTCACCCCCCCTCTCC